ATTTAATTTTTTGAGTCACACAATTTTTTTTTAAGTATACAGAAGATATGTTTGTTGGTGAATGATTTTTATTTTTGTCTATATTTTATATGAATTTATCTAATTGAGAAAAACAAATAGTTTTTTTTAAAAAAATTGCATATTACAAATATTTAATGTGTTATACTAATTTAGTTCTGTTATTCGAAGCATTTTTTAAATTTCTAAATCAAATAGAATTTCTATCCGGTACAACTCAACTTATTTTTTTTTTTTCCTTTTTAAAAAAATTAAATATTTTGATGCATCTACTCAACTCGGACGCAGACGTTATACTTATTCATTTCGTTATGGTTATTCTTTCTGGAAATCGTTTGGAATTTGCTATGTGTTGAAAATTCCATCCGATCTCTGACGCTCAAAATTTTTTATTTCTGCATTTTAAAATTAATGTCTTTAAAATATTTTTCTATGCAATCTTTTTGTGAAAAAAATATTCTGTCTGTTGAGAGCTGAATAAACCAAACTACTTTTAATGCCATCTCAGTGTTCCAATAGAACTGAACAGAGCCTCCGCGTTCGTCTGCTTCCTGTATAATTCGTTATCTTCCGTGTCCTTATATGGCGGAGAACTGCCATTCTCAAGCCTCACCAGAGCGATGGCAGACGATACTGAAGTTCCGTAGAGAAGAGGATATTTATATCGCTCTGGAAACGGGAACTGCTTGAGTCACACTCTCACTTGGAATTTGCCGACGGTATAGCCCCAGTTTCACTCCTCCCAGATCTTGTAGCTCTTCAAACAGCGGTTCTTCGTCTCCACTAGCAACCGTAGGCGCGGCTTTTTAGAGCTTCTTCCTATACCTAGCGCCTTAAAAAGAAAGCTGGGGCACATCGTGGAAAAGTGTCCGGTTACTTGGGGTGGTGGAAGTTTTTGCTATTGAGGTTTCTGTCGGTTTGCAGGTTTTATTTTTGGAAAATTTCTCAAAGGTGGGGGCTCTTTTAAATGTAGGGCAATGGAGGATGAATAACTGGAATGAATATGTATTGTGAAAATTATGTAAAAATAAATATACTGAAAAATAAAATGCAAGTTCAACATTTTTTTCAATTCCTACTGTTCACTCTCCCTATATATATATATCGTTCAAATTTTCAATCGTTAATAAAATGCTTTTTATCCATCCTCTCAAGTACAAATACATTTTTTAAATTTTGTAGTTGATTTCGATGTTAATACAGTTTTTTTTTCAAATATTAATTCTATTAATGAATAAATAGTAACCAACAAAAGTAATAGTCCAACACCATATATTAAAAGGGAACATCACTCGCTGTGTCCCTGTAACACAATGGAATAGCGAGTTGGACTTCAAATCCAAAAAGTTCGTGGGTTCGAAACCCACCTGGAATGGCCTAATTTCTGAGAATGTGATTTCTTTTTATTATACTATTTTACTGGAAGAATTAAATTTAATTAATGAAGAAATAGTAACAAAAAAAAAAAAAAAAATAGTCCAACACCCTATATAGAAAGAAAAGTGGAAAATTGCAAGGAAAATCACTTTCTGTTTTGTCAATATTGTGATCATGTCATATGTATATACATACTGATATTGAATTGTAATTATTTAATAAAAAGTAACTAAAATAAAATATTTCTTTGTTCACCTATGTAGGAATTGACTTAATTTTTTTTTATATTACTTGTTTGGAATAAATTGGCTGAAATGCTGCAAAATTATCATTATTCTTTTGTTCTTATTTTTGTACATGAATTTAATATATATTGCTTTATTCTTGAGTAAAGTGATGAAATGAGATTTGAAACATTAATTATATAAATGTGACATCAGTTACAGTTTTTATTGTAATAAAAATTTATAGATTAATATTTTATTAGAAAATATCTTTTGGGAAAACACATACAACACACATAGTCAAGATAGTTTGAACATATTTCTTATTATCATGAAGGGGAGGGGGAGATTTAATAATGGATATGTGTATGTGAATACTAATTGTATCCAATGTTATTTTTACTAAATTTCTATTTTTGTATTAATATTTATGAAATAAATAAATGTGCGAGACTAGCTATATCCTCATTTCCTAATACCACTGCCTTAATTAAAGGCAACTTTTTTTTGGTAAGGGAAAAAATAATTGTATAACTTTTCTAGAATCAGAAACAATAAATTGCTATTGAAGCATATTATTTGCAAGTTCTTAATATTAAGCTTTTAGTTATTTATATATTTTTGTATGCAACAAAAAATGGACAATTTCTACTGTAATGGAGAAAAGTTGATAAAAAGATTAGTTGATTCTGAAAATATTTTGAGACAGAAATAAAAGGTAATTAGTTTTCCTTTTCACTAATATATTTACTAAATGAACGCCAAATTATTGCTCTTCAAAAAAAAAGCTTGAAAGTGACTAAAAATTAATATTTTTATCTTTTAGTAAAATTTTATTTGTCTTCCCTTTTTAAATTAACAGTTCTTAAAGTATGAAGTAAATAGTTATTTTTCCATCTCAGACAAGTTAAAAAGCTTTTTATTAGTTGAAATTTTTAAAGAATTTTCTGAAAATAAGGTCTAAAACTATTCTTACCAACATTTTATTAAATATTTTTTTTTATTTGGGGAAAAATGGATAATTTAACGATAAGTAGAGTTTAAAGCCTTTTTAGTTTGATTTAAAATAATGTAAAATAGTTTTTCTCAACTTCGGAAAGGTATTAACATTTTTTTTTTTTTTTTTTTTTTTTTTTAAAAAGGCTTAATGTGTTTATATAGAACTGTTTGGGTTATATGAGGATGAATCCTTAAAACATCAGTTATATTTTAATCAATTTATAATAAAAATTCTAAAAATATCACTGACTAATGGGAAAAGTATAATCTGAATATGAAAATAGGCAATCTATATAATTTTAATGACATGGATTTTAGTTTGGGGTACATGAATGTAATGGCTATACAAATAAAAATTTTCATTTGAAAGGGCAGTTTTGAATCCTGGGTTATATAGTATAATAAATGTAGGTATTTTTTTTTTTTTATTTTTATAAAACAGTGAATTTGATAGTATCGAATGAATTTATCAATATAAAATATGAATATTTACTATCTCGCACGCACACACATATATATTTAAATTGATTATTTCATTCATCATTTTAGAAGTATTTCTTATCCTTTGTACTTTTTAGGGATAGTAATGCTTTTTTTGCCATTATTTTTAGATGAATTTCTTTTTTAGAACGTCTTAACATTAAAGAGTAAAGTAGTATTCCTCTAAGATATCTCAGTTTTTAATAGTTTATTTTTTCCATTTTTTTAGACCTTTACTGCCTGGTGTAACTCCCACTTGAGGAAAGCTGGGACACAGATCGAAAACATAGAAGAGGACTTCCGAAATGGCCTGAAACTCATGTTACTATTAGAAGTTATTTCCAGTGAAACATTGCCAAAGCCTGACCGGGGCAAAATGAGGTTCCATCACATTGCCAATGTGAACAAAGCTTTAGATTTCATTGCTAGCAAGGGTGTCAAATTAGTTTCCATTGGTGCTGAAGGTATATCTATTAATATCTATAATTTTATACCTACACTGCCTTAATATTGTTAATATTCTTGAATTCTTTGTAATGCAATCTTTTGGTCCTCTGCCTTTAAGAAAAAAATTGATAAAAATTAAAATAATTTAATATTAATATGTAGTTTCCATTATTTAGGAATTTAAACTATTAATTATCAGTGCACACGCAAGGTGTTCATAATAGTAGCAGTAGCTCAAGGATGCTATTAATTGCCAATATTTGTAATCTAGCTACAAAGCCTAAAACAAAATTAAGGTAAAAGTTTATCCTTTCTTTGCAGCTAGTCTTGAAGTCGATCGGGTCTGAGCAATTTTATTTCTTGAATCCAACTAAATTAAGCACACTCGCAATCATTGATGAGTTTGTATTCAAAATGAATAACATTTAATGGCCATTTAAATTACAATTTACAAAATTACAGCAGGAAATATCGGGACATTTTTTACATTCTACTGTTTCAAAAAAAGGTAAACATATACAGTCACAGTCGCTGCTAAAAGTTCAGCTTGCAGTTTTAGAAAGAAGAGGAAGTTCTAACAGATGCAATAAGTTTTTTTTCTTTTAAAAAACATTTTTTCTCTTTTTTTAAAAAAAATTTTAATGCCTGTTTTTAAAATAATGCTTTAAATGTATACATAGTTTGTTTGTGTGCAAGTGTCTTTATATATATATATACTTATATAAATTTATATCACATATGAACATGCTATATATCAATATATGAACATATATATCAATATACATTCTTATATGTACATTTATGTATGTATATCTTTAGTATTCTGTTTAAGAATGAACACATGCAATGACATACATACTTTTATAGGAGGGGCTTACATTTTAAAAAACAAGTGAAAGATAGTGCAGAGGCATGATCTTTATATTAAAAACTAAAAACCTCTGGGTGTAATTGGGAGTTTGAACTCCCTTTGTGAAGGCCACTGAACACATGTTTTGAAATATTTCAAATTTGTATTTTAAGTAATTTTATGTACCATAGAGCCAGTATAAGGCTTAAAAAGTATTGCATTGCTTGAAGTTATAGCTTATTCATTAATAGCTATTCTTAATATTTTATTAATCTATATCTATTGAGAGAAATTTTATTTGAATTTGTGCAAACAAATTTCATTTATAAAGCATTCTGTTATTTATTCTAGATATACTATTTGATATAATAGATATACTATACTACTACCCCCCCCCCCCTAATTTTATGTATTTAAGGCTATCTTTGTCTTCTGTCAAAGAGTTTGATTTAAAATCTGAACATATTTTCAGATAGGAATGTGTCTTAAATTGTAGTTAAATTTGTAATATTGTAGCTTATATATTCATTGATTATACTGCTTCTTTAAAATTTAGAAACATTCTATAAATATACAATTCTCTTTTAATGTAAATTGAAAACTTTTTTAGCATTACAGCATTAGAGTTAAAAGATTAGAATAAATTTTATACCAAAAAAAGACACAAGTAATTAAGTAGGATATAGGATAGGGACATCAGAATATTAATGTTGGAGCATTCTCTATTCGGAAATAAATATTCAGTTTGAAACCCATTCTTTAACCATATGAGCTTTTTTAACTGTTAAATTTATTTTACTGATACAAAAAAATTTGTTTTGATTGAGTTGTATAGTTTAAGTAATTATTTAGTTGAAGAGAAAATTTTAGATGGAATATTTTTTTTATATAATTTGCAGCTCTAATTCACTTTTAAAAATAATAATAATAAATAACAACACACAAAGTAGATCTAGTATTCATTTTTAAAAAAGGTATCTGGAGGGAAGTAAAGAATCTTTCTCATTACTATTTTTTAACTGGATGTTATTGTTTTTATGCTTATTATTTTTGTTTATAATATTAATTTTGTATTCTAGAAATTGTTGATGGAAATGTAAAAATGACCCTTGGGCTTATATGGACCATTATCCTTAGGTTTGCAATTCAAGATATTTCAGTAGAAGGTAAATTTCATATATTTATTACATTACAATGAATATTATTGTTATATAATAGTGTAGATCAATAAACTGATGCATATTTTTGTATCTAGAAAATTTAAAGTGAATCTAAACAATCATTAACTTCAAAAAGATTTTTGATCAATCCATATGTTGCAACTTTGAAATAATTTATCTGAATGACTTATATTTATGAAAAAACAAGATTTCTTTCATGTAAACAGATGTTTGTCTTAGAAATGTTTATTTGTAAACTTTTAAAATTATTCGCCTGTAACAAATAAACTTTTCAGTACAGTATCATAATCATCCCATAAAATAATTTAAAAAATCTTAATATGATGAAAATTCTAATTTACTTGCTCTAACTTTTTTAATAGAGGAACTTTTTATATAAATATTTTTAACAATTTCTAATTAGTTGAATGCTATATACAATTGTCACAGTATCTTATTGGAATCATGAATTTCTTGGCTTTGGTGCTATTACTTTTATTCATTGACAAACAACACAGTTGTGCATTTAATTATTTTTGTCTTGAAAGGTTTTGTTTAATATGGAAAGTTAAGGATTTTGATACTGGTTCAGTGCCTTGTTACATGATTGTAGAACAGTTATTGCTTTTTTTCCATAAGTTTATTGCAGTTAAGTTTTAAAAATCAATTTGAATTTTCATCCATAAAATTAGCTTATGTTTGCTCTTTGTGTTTTGTTAGTAAATTTTAATAATTATTGTATTAATTTCAGAAATGACAGCCAAAGAAGGTTTGCTACTATGGTGCCAAAGGAAAACAGCTCCTTACAAAAATGTTAATGTACAGAACTTCCATCTAA